CCTGGGAGCTATCACAGAGGGAGGGGGAATTAAGAGACACCCAGTACCATTGGGCTGCAGGAGAGACCCTCATAACATGGAAATCCACACACCCAAGTGGGCCGGGGGGTCAAACCCACAACCCTGGGCACTATTCTTAGGAGTAAGCCTTAGGAATCTATTGCTAAGATTAGGTGTAAATAAATAAGGCAGAGTCATGGGTAAGACTTGGCAGCAGTGAAAGTCAGACCAGCTGCCTCAAAGCAATCAGGCTGACTAAACGATCTCATTACTTTTACTGTTTTTTTAAGCTTTTAAACTTGTAAGTTTGTAACGTAAGTATGTTATGATGAGAACACAATGAGCCTTATATATAAACTTTAAACTCATACGTTTGTAACGTAAGTGTTTCACGATGAGAACACAGTGAGCCATAGAAATAAACTTTAAACTCATACATGTGTAATGTAAATGTTTCACGATGAGAACACAGTGAGCCTTAGAAATAAACTTTAAACTCATACGTTTGTAACATAAGTGTTTCACGATGAGAACAGTGAGCCTTAGGAATAAGTGGCACCACTTTACTTAAGCAGTCATCATAACGCATTATAGATACCTTCATTATGCATAATAATGCATTCAAAAAGTATTATAAACACAGCTATAACCATTTATAAACATTATAGCCAAGTGCATTTATTATACATTATGAATGCTCTATGAAGCTCCCATCTATAATGCACTGTAGATACCTTCATAATGCATTATAATGGTTTGCCGTTACTGATTGATGTGTAAAACAATGGCTGTCCTTTTGAATCAGACACATTTGCATCTTTCTCTGTACAAACATGCATCTCACACCCATCTAAGTCACATAAATGCCATTTCTTGTTTTTCCATTCTGATTATTTACACGCATACGCATTTGCAGGCTCCGCCTTATGTTGTTCTTCACTGCCCCCCCCTCCACTCTCTTGCAGTCATGTCGCATTTCAGCTGCATTAGTTGCATTACTCTCCTCCTGCCCTTGCTCCCAGACTGTACCACCCTGGCCTCCTGCCACACCGCACCTTGGCATCTCCCTAACCAATCTCACGCTCTGTTAAGATAGATATGTTCCATTTTCTTTCCACTGGCAGCTTTTTGCTTCCAAATAAATCTGAAATGAACAAAATGAAACGTATTTTTTTCCCTCCTGCTCTCTTCGAGACACTTTTAAGCGCCGATAATGAGTCTTGGTGGTCGGGCTGCTGCAGTTTTCTGTTCAGATGCATTAACGAACAAAAGTGTTTTCTCATCACAAAGACACAAAAATGCATAAAGAACTTTTTTTCCCCCCCCCCAACAGGGATGACTAATGCTACACTATTTAACCCGACTTGAACAATGTACTAAAAACAAAACAAGCAGCTCTTTTTTAGTCCAGCTGTCTGGTTTGTGACTTCCTGTTTACCTCCAAACTTGCATAGCAGCAGAGAGACTCATAATGAGCCAATTATCTCGGAGTCGGACGGACATTCAGACGTGGAACAGGAAGCTGGCTGTTCCCGGTAGATTATTTGAAATGGAAATAGAGTTGGGCTTCTTTTCACAGAGAACGCAGACCATGTGAAGCCATCTTGATGCTCTCAGATTCTCTGTGTGTGTGTGTGTGTGTGGGGGGGGGGGTTGTTTGCACCTTGGATACTTATGAACACCTCCAGCAATGGCTGAAGATGGCAGTTTGTTTTTGCACTCCGTCTCGGAACTGGAATATCACACTAACCCACCGAGAGCCCCCCACTCCGATAAGCAGAGGCTTTGCTGTCCAACAGTCTGGCCCCGAGGCGTGACAATCGCACCCGTACCTTTTTGTGGGACTCAGAGCTATCGAAAAAAAGGCCACAGTTGTCTATTCCGAACGTGAGGAGCATCACCTACGAGTGGAATTTAAGGGCAACTATCGAGCCTTCAGATCTCTAACCTCAGTCCTCCGACGTCTGGAATATTTGCTCTTTTCACTTTACAGAAACTCACTCCTCTCCCAGACCTGGAATTAAACACTCCGTCCTGTGTCATGCATTATTTATCAGTACTTTGGTTAGCAGTTTGTATTTATTCATATATTAAGCTTTGATTCCAAAATGTTTCCAGAAGCCGCCATGAAGAATGGCCACTGCTGGGTTCTGGTGCCTCCCTCAGATGTTTCTGTAGTATAAACAAATCACTTTGCCTTTGTTTCTTCACTGTTTTTTTTTTTTTTTTTAAATGGTATATTGTGACGTGGGGCTTAGCACCATCGCTTCACAGAAGGTGACATTACCAGAGGCTTCAGAACATTCCAGAGGCATGGCGCTGTGTTCACGCTGGCCCTCTGTTCACCTGCCGAGCAACTGAGATGCCCCGTCGGACCTGATTTTCCTCGGCGGAGTCCGCGTCCCGGAGAGGGCATAAACCTCGCTTATCAGCCTGCCTCTGGGTGAGGGTTTGTGCTAAAACCATGCAGCCCTTTTCATTCTCAGGCGTTTGATATGGAGTGGCAGAGGCAACAGCAGTCCGGCAAAGGCATTAGCACCTCTATCTCTACAGAGGAGATTGATGAAAACAGCAGGAGTGCCACACTGGTAGCAATGCACACTGCGCCCTAATAGCAACAGGCCCGTTTTCTCGGGGATTAGATCCCATTCACTAGGGTTTCCCTCCTCGTTCGCGGCCAGACCGGACCAGGCATTACCGTAGAGCAGTAACTTACCAGTACGGAGCCGGTGGCAGTTCATCGTTGGGTCTCTCACCTCCTGAGGGAGGGGCATGTCCTCTCAGTGCCAGCCTGCTTTGAGAATCGCTCTGCGGTGATTACTATGCGCATACGTATAAATGCTAAGCATTCCGCCTACCTGCCTGGTCTGTATTAGTAGGCTGGCCTGTTCGTTGCAGCCGCCGTTAATTAGCTACAGATGAACTCGAACTGTGTTAATTCTGAGAATGAATTCTTTATAGACTGTATGGAGACAAGTCAAAGTTTTTAAAATAATTGTTAAT